CGTGGCCACGCAATAAGTTTATCGTGCGCACGAAATACTACTTCGTGGCCACGCAATAAGTTTATCGTGCGCACGAAATACTACTTCGTGGCCACAGTAAAAACATTTTTTTGACCATGTCATCAGAGGGGCTCCGTACTTTTGCAAGATCTCGCAAAAAAAATAAACTTTTGCGGGATCTCGCAAAAGTTCTTTTTTTTCCCTCCATGTCTTCTCCCTGCACCTAAACAGACTTTCCTAAATGCCAAATCATCCTTCAGCTCAATTCTTCATCAATATGATTTAGATTTATAGCTTAAAGCAGCACCTCATCATTATAAACATGAGTTTTACTTTTTGAATTTACTGAAATAAAGAAACTTTTATGATATAATTAAAATGATCAGCGATGCTCATTTATTTCAGTGCAGGTACAGCATCTCTGATCATTTCAAGTAGCAGAGATGCACATTATACATAAACAAATTAGCAGAAATCAATTTAGTTGTTTTAACTATAATAGATTCAGTTTTAAGGAGATATTCCACTGAAAATCGGATCTTCTGCTGAATCTGTGGACATAAAGCTTCTACTCTGCAGAAAATTGAAATCTAAGTAATTTTTTCCTTAAAATAAGAGATTTTTTTCTTGAATTGAGGAGATAAGAAAGAAACTTTGCTGATGGAACAAGACAATTTATATTGAAAATAAGAAAAAAACAATTGTTTTGTCTTATTTCAAGTACATACTATCTAATTATCTTATTTTCGTAGTAAATATACTCATTCCATTGGCAAATCCTCTTATTTACCTGCTCAAATTAAGGACAAATACACTCATTTAAGAATTCTTTACTCTAAAATGAAAACGATCTATATCTGAGTAAAAATGTACCCTTAATTTGAACAGTGGAATAAGATGATCTGCCATGGAGTGAGTATTTTTATCCTTAAAAGTAGATAATTATATAATATGCACTTAAAAATAAGACAATGGAATAGTTTTTTCTTATTTTAAATGTAAACTGTCTTGTTCCATTGGCAAAATGTCTCACTTTCCTCCTCAATTCAAGAAAAAAATGCACTTATTTTAAGACAAAAATGACTTTTAACTTTTTGCAGTGTACAGCTTGTCTCTCCAAAGGCCTTAATGTTTAATGAAGTGGATTTTCAGTGGACTTTTCCCCTCTATTGTCTCTAATTACTCACCCTTCTCCCAGCACATGTGTAAAAATATATCTTTTTTATGTCTGTGTTCATCTTTCCTCCAAAGTACTCCCCTACGATGAGAGCAACTTACCTCTCCATGACTGAGGAGCAGAGTCGACACTTTGGAAGCGACTTCCAAGCCTAGAGCTCGATGCGTGACGGAGGGAACCTGCAGGAAAGGAGGAAGCAGCTGTCGGATGGCTCACAAACCTGAACATCTCTGCAGTCCAGAACTGCAGCGTTTGCAGCGTCGGGCCGAGTGGAATCAGACTACAAACCTCTGTGCTGTTCTGCGCTGCGGTGCCTTGCAGAAATAGTCATACCCTGTGATCTTTTCTCGTTTTTCTTGTGTCACATTTAAAGAAAGAATTTTAAAATACTTTATCAGGTTTTCATGTACGAGGAAGTATTAGGGCCAGGCTAGAGATTTTCTTCCTTTTATTTCGATAATAATGTTGTAATATTACGAGAATTTTATGACTATTCTAGTTGCGACTTTATTCTCGAAACAGAAGAAAAAGAAAATCTAGCCTGGCGCAGATACTATGGAAGAGGATTAGGGCCACTGGAGGAAAAAGAAAAAAGTTAACTGATTTTTTAATTTTATTTCAGTTTAACATGGGAAAAAAGTCAGAATTCTGACTTTAATCTCAGAATTTAAAGTCAGAATTCTGAGAAAAATGTCAGAATTCTATGAAAAAAAGTCAGAATTCTGAGAAAAAAGTCAGAATTCTGACCTTTTTCCTGTGTTAAACTGAAATAAAATTTAAAAATCAGTTACCTTTTTTTTTTCAGTGGCCCTAATCCTCTTCCGTAGGATACTCCGTCGTATTTATGTAATAAAACAACACAAAGTGAGGAATAATCATGAAGTGGAGCAAAACTGACACACGTTCTTCAGATTCCTAGCAAATAAAAACATTTAAAGCCTGGCGTGTACTTTTGAATTGACAAGAACTTGGCGATACAATACGTATCACGATACGATATATTATTATACATTAACAAAGGCAATACTCTTACTCATATAAATCAATATAAATATCACTTTTTATAATAATAATAATAATAATATAGCTCTGGAGAACCTCAGTAGATCTTGTTACTCTGCTGCTGCCAGTAGAGCAGTTTGGCACTTTGCTGCCAACTAGTGGCTGGAGGTTCCAGAGTTACATTAAAGACAATGAAATGGATGTTTGACTTTAAGTTCTTTTTACATTTAAGATCCAATCGGCCATATTAGGAATCAATACCAATATTATCTAATAAAAAATTTTGGTATCATATCAGATGAAACGTTGCGATAATTAATGGAATAGATTTTTCCTTCCATCCTTATTGAATTACTGCCGTTCCACTTCATTTCTTTGTGCTTGTTTAGAGTTATGGTCCTGCTGCAACGTTAACCTGTCTCACTCTACAACCCTAATGCTACGTTCAGACTGCAAGCAGCAGAAGCAGCTAGTTTACGTGCTGCTGGAGATGGAAAAATTTTAGTTTTGCTACTCAAGCTAACCTGACTCCTTCCATAGAAGTAATTTTGGGAAGGGGCGAAAATACTGGTTAGCTGATTGGCCTATGTTGGTGATAGACGGGCCAAATAAACC